CCTCCCAGTTCCCTCCCAGTTCACTCCCAGTTCCCTCCCAGTCCCTCCCAGTTCCTCCCAGTTCCCTCCCAGTCCCTCCCAGTCCATCCCAGTTCATCCCAGTCCCTCCCAGTCCATCCCAGTTCATCCCAGTCCCTCCCAGTTCATCCCAGTCTCACCAGTAAGATGTCAGCCACGATGGCCCAGTTCAGGGACAGGAGGGTCTCGCCCAGGAAGATGAAAACCTGGGGGGGGCTCCCAGTTCAAACCAGTTCAAACCAGTTCAAACCAGTGCCCCCCAAATCCCCCCATAATGACCCCCAAACCCCTCCCAGTTCAAACCAGTTCATCCCAGTCCATCCCAGTCCCTCCCAGTCCATCCCAGTCCATCCCAGTCACACCCAAACCCCCCCATAATGACCTCCAAACCCGTCCCAGTCCATCCCAGTCCCTCCCAGTCCATCCCAGTCCATCCCAGTCACCCCCAAACCCCCCCATAATGACCCCCAAACCCCTCCCAGTCCATCCCAGTATAAACCAGTGCCCCAGTAATGACCCCAAACCCCTCCCAGTCCATCCCAGTATAAACCAGTGACCCCAAATCCCCCCGAAACCCCCCAAATCTCCCCCGAACGACCCCAAATCTTGGCCCAACGACCNCCTCCCAGTCCATCCCAGTATAAACCAGTGACCCCAAATCCCCCCCAAACCCCCCAAATCTCCCCCGAACGACCCCAAATCTTCCCCCCCCGACCCCCAAACGCCCTCCCAGTATAACCCAGTATAACCCAGTCCGTCCCAGTGCTCACGTAGGCGGCGGGGGGGCAGGGCTGGGCGCACAGCAGGGCCAGCAGCAGCCCCCAGTCCATCCCAGTATAAACCAGTCCATCCCAGTCACCCCCAAACCCCCCCATAATGACCCCCACACCCCTCCCAGTCCATCCCAGTATAAACCAGTGCCCCAGTAATGAACCCAAACCCCTCCCAGTCCCTCCCAGTATAAACCAGTGCCCCAGTAATGACCCCAAACCCCCCCATAATGACCCCCAAACCCCTCCCAGTCCATCCCAGTATAAACCAGTCCATCCCAGTCACCCCCAAACCCCCCCATAATGACCCCCAAACGCCCTCCCAGTATAACCCAGTCCGTCCCAGTGCTCACGTAGGCGGCGGGGGGGCAGGGCTGGGCGCACAGCAGGGCCAGCAGCAGGCAGGGCGCGGCGCCCAGCACCCCCCCCGCGCACAGCAATGGGTCGGCCCGGGGGTGCCGGGGGCGGAGCCGCCGCGAGAGCTCCGCCCCCAGCCCCACCCCCAGCACCCCCGAGCCGCAGGTCAGGGCGCCGAACAGCAGGCTGGGGTCAGAGGTCAGCCCGGGGTCAGCCGGAACGTCCCCGAAACGTGCCCGAAATATCCCCGAAATATCCCAAAAACGTCCCCGAAATATCCCCAAAATATCCCAAAAACGTCCCCAAAATATCCCCGAAACGTGCCCGAAATATCCCCAAAATATCCCTGAAACATGCCCAAAATATCCCCAAAATATCCCCAAAACATGCCCGAAATATCCCCAAAATGTCCCCAAAATATCCCCAAAATGTCCCCAAAATATCCCCAAAATGTCCCCAAAATATCCCAAAAAAATCCCTGAAATGTCCCCGAAATATCCCCAAAATGTCCCAAAAAATCACCAAAATGTTCCCAAAATATCCCCAAAGCATGCCCAAAATATCCCAAAAAAATCCCCAAAATGTTCCCAAACTATCCCCGAAATATCCCCAAAATATCCCCAAAATGTCCCAAAATCCCGCCAAAATTTCCTCAAAATCCCCCCAAAATTTCCCCAAGCCCCCAAAATCTCCCAAAATTTGGATTTCTGGCCCCCACCTCTGGTTGCCATGGCAGCGCTGTGCCTCCCCCAACGTCCCCATTGTCCCCAGAATGTCCCAAAATCCCCCAAAAATGTCCCCAAATCCCCCAAAATGTCCCAAAATCCCCCAAAATGTCCCCAAATGTGCCCAAAATCCCCCCAAAA